TGGATTATGGCCCCATGTTAGAAGGCTACTTCTAAGTGCTGTTTCTAAGTGTGTAGTTGGAGATATTCTGGAGAGTTTTACAGAAGCTTCAACTGTCTAAGAGTTGAGCTAAGAGCTTTCTTTTCTACTGTTACAGGTAAGATTCATCTGTAGGAAAAGGTTACTGATTGCACAAGGTTTGAATTCCTGTTGGTAATTATAAGGCATTTGATTTGATTAAGCTAGTTACTTGCTATTGATTGCTGGCTAATTAGCTATTGTTTGCAAATAAGCAGAGGCCTACCCAGGTGTTAAACATTCCTAGTGGGTGGTGATTTTAGGAGTTATATAAGGCTTGTTGTCATTAGCTTGTCTAATATAGCTTGGTGCTACTTCTAAGTGCTGTTTCTAAGTGTGTAGTTGGAGATATTCTGGAGAGTGCTGTTTCTAAGTGTGTAGTTGGAGATATTCTGGAGAGTGCTGTTTCTAAGTGTGTAGTTGGAGAAATTCTGGAGAGTGCTGTTTCTAAGTGTGTAGTTGGAGATATTCTGGAGATAAACTGGAGGTAATCTGAGGTATTCAGGAGGATAAATACAAAGTTAAGATTTGTTAGATTTAAATTATTCTCCTAATTGGAATGGCAGACTTAGTTCAGTGTAACAATTGCTATGCATTTGTTTCACGTTCCACTTTTTGGAGGTTTGGTTGTCTAATCTGTAGACAGTTCTCTATCTTGCGGCAGGAGATTGTATTTTTGAAGTCTGAGATTTGTAAATTATCTGGTGAACAAACTCAGACTGGAACTGCTACAAAGCCACTGCCGCAGAGACATACTAGGAATGGCAGATGGATTACTGTGGGATCTGGTAGACTTAGAGTTGTGGATAAAAGGCATTTTGCACAGTCTGTTGCTCTTCATAATTCATTTTCTGCACTTTCAGAGTGTAGTGGTGTTGTGGAGAGAGGCACTGAGGCTAGTGGTGTTGTGGAGAGAGGCACTGAGGCTAGTGGTGTTGTGGAGAGAGGCACTGAGGCTAGTGGTGTTGTGGAGAGAGGCACTGAGGCTAGTGGTGTTGTGGAGACCGGCTTGGAGACTATGGTGAGGCCTAATAGAAAGCAGTTGTTGTTGGGGGATTCCATTATAAGAGGTGTGGAGATGGACAATGGTGGTCTTGTGAGGTGTCTTCCCGGAGCTACTGCTCACAGAGACAGGAGACGTATCTGTAATATTGTTAAGCAAGCAAAGCAGGAAGGGGAATTGGATGTACTTGTCCATCTAGGGACAAATTACTTGGCTTGCAATGAGGTTTCAGAGGTTAAGGAAGTTTTTAGTGTTTTTGCCAATGATATACGGCAGGTTGCTTCCACACTGTCATTCTCTGAAGTTCTGCCTGTGCATAACACTCAGAACGACAGGTGGATGCGTATTAGGGACTTTAATTTGTGGCTTGGTGAATGGTGTCAGGAGCAAGGATTTGGCTTTATTTCTCATGGTAGCTCTGTTTGGAATGGAGATAAGCTGTACAAAAAAGATGGTTTGCATCATTCTCAAAAGGGAACAAATGTTCTCAGTGAGCAGTTCAGAGGTTTTGCTAGGATGTATTTAAACTAGGAGGGGGGGGGGGCAAAAGGGTGATAAAACATCAATCCAATTGTCCCCCAAAACAAGTGTGTTAAAAAATGATAAGCTTAGAGTCATGTATACAAATGCTCACAGTTTAGGGAATAAGATCCATGAACTTGTGGCAATAATGGCAACTGATAGTGTAGATTTTGTCGCTGTTACTGAGACATGATACAATGAGAAAAATGACTGGGACATAGCAATACCAGGGTACTCTTTATATAGGAAAGATAGGGAAGGCAAGAAAGGGGGAGGGGTGGCCTTGTATGTGAAGGATAGCATAAAATTTAGCCTAATAAATGTTAGTGAGGCAAACATAGAGTCCGTTTGGGCTACGTTAGAATTTGGTAATCACACAGTAACTCGTGTAGGTGTGATTTATAGGCCCCCAGGACAAATTGAAGAGTTAGATAATCTACTAGTTGAGGAAAAAGCTAAAATGACAATGAAGGGGGAAGTTATCATCATAGGTGACTTTAATCTTCCTGATGTAAATTGGAAAACAAAATTAGCTAAAAATTAGCTACTTGAGCACACATATTCTAAACTCCCTACTGGGATTGTCTCTAAAACAAGTTGTTGAGGAGCCAACTCGTAAAGAGGCCATACTAGATTTAGTGTTAACAAATGGAGATTTGGTATCAGATATTACTGCAGGTGAAAGTTTAGGACCCAGTGATCATCAGTCAGTGTGTTTTAATATAAGAACAGTGACTGAGTCACACCACACAAAAACAAAAGTTTTAGACTTTAGAAAAACAGACATTTCTAAAATTGGAATATGGGTAGAGGAGTCATTATCAGACTGGAGCAATTTAAATGGAGTCCAAGAGAAATGGGATTATTTAAAAGTTGCACTATTGAAGGCAACAGAAAATTGCATTAGGCTTGTCAGTAAAAGCAAAAAATTCAAGAAACCAAAATAATGGTGCAACATATAATATAGAATTATCATTGCATTTAGAAATTATAAAAAAAACCAGAGTGAGGAAAACAAAATGATCTATAAGATTAGGCAGAAAGAGGCTAAGCAAGTTATAAGAGCTTCCAAATCACACACAGAAGAGAAAATAGCACAGTCAGTAAAAAAGGGGGATAAAACATTTTTTAGATACATAAATGAGAAAAGAAAAGTAAAACAAGGATTAGTTAGATTAAAAACAAAAGAAGGAAGGTATTTAGAAGAGGATAAAGGTCTAGCTGACTGCCTCAATGAATATTTTTGTTCTGTATTTACAGATGAAAATGAAGGAAAGTGACCTCAGTTGAGGAAAAGGATAAATGAGTAATTTATTACACGTGAGTTTACAGAGGAAGAGGTTCTATTTCAACTGTCAAAAGTAAAGACAAATAAGTCAATGGGACCTGATGGAATACACCCAAAGCTATTAAAAGAGCTTAGTGGTGTACTAGCAAAACCATTAACAGATTTATTTAACCAATCATTGTTAACAGGAGTAGTCCCAGAAGATTGGAAGTTAGCGAATGTTGTGCCCATTTACAAGAAAGGTAATAGGGAGGAGTCGGGCAACTATAGGCCAGTAAGCCTTACTTCAGTAGTGGGGAAAGTGATGGAAACCATGTTAAAGGATAGGATTGTTGAACATCTAAAAACACATGGATTTCAAGATCAGAGACAACATGGGTTTACTTCAGGGAGATCATGCCAAACTAATCTTATTGATTTTTTTGATTGGGTAACTAAAATTATAGATCAGGGTGGTGCAGTAGACATTGCTTACCTAGATTTCAGTAAGGCTTTTGACACTGTTGCACATAGAAGGCTTATCAATAAACTGCAATCTTTAAGTTTGGATGCAAATATTGTTGAATGGGTAAGGCAGTGGCTGAGTGACAGGCAACAGAGGGTTGTAGTTAATGGAATATATTCGAAGCTTGGACTTGTCACTAGTGGGGTACCTCAGGGATCTGTACTTGACCCATTCTCTTTAATATTTTTATTAGTGATATTGCAGAAGGTCTTGATGGTAAGGTATGTCTTTTTGCTGATGATACTAAGATATGTAACAGGGTTGATGTTCCAGGAGGGATAAGCCAAATGGCAAATGATTTAGGTAAACTAGAAAATGGTCAGAATTGTGGCAACTGACATTTAATGTGGATAAGTGCAAGATAATGCATCTTGGATGTTAAAACCCAAGGGCAGAGTACAGAATATTTGATAGAGTCCTAACCTCAACATATGAGGAAAGGGATTTAGGGGTGATTATTTCTGATGACTTAAAGGTAGGCAGACAATGTAATAGAGCAGCAAGAAATGCTAGCAGAATTCTTGGTTGTATAGGGAGAGGTACCGTATTTTTCGCTCCATAAGACGCACCTGACCATAAGACGCACCTAGTTTTTAGAGGAGGAAAACAAGAAAAAAAATATTCTGAATCAAATGTTGTACTAAACTATTTAATAAACTACCAGTATATCAGAATAATATTTCAAACATGTAAAGTAAACAGCAGCATTAAGTCAACAGTGGTATTAAGAACCTTCATCACTGTCATTAACAAATGAAGAGAAACTTTAAGGTTTGAGTACTCTTCTAGTCTTCTGTGAACCCCAAGAACTCATCATTGCTAGAGTCAGAATTTAGGAAGCTCAGTTGCTCACAATCACTGACATCACTTTCTTCGCTATCTTCATATAAGATATCATCTTCATTTCCATCCAAAGCATTGCTAATGCCACATTTTTTGAATGACTGGACAACGATTTCCTCCTTCACAGAGTGCCACGATGTTTTCACCCATTCACAAACTTGAGTGATAGTGGGCCTCTTCATTCGTCCAGCAGGTGTCAAATCATGATTGCCAGCAGCCATCCATTTGTTCCACTCTTCTCGCATAAAAACCTTAAATGGTTTGTTGATGGAAACGTCGAGAGGTTGCAACTGGCTGGTAAGACCTCCAGGAATTACAGCTAGATGAGTCTTCACTTCTTTAAAGCACTTTTTTGTAGTTTCACTAATATGTGCTCTAAATTGGTCAAGTACTAATAAGGCAGGTTTTTTCAGAAGCCCTCCAGGACGATTGGACCACACTTTTTCTATCCATACTCTCATTCCATTTTCGTCCATCCATCCTTTCTCATGAACATGAACAACAACTCCTCTTGGAATCACTTCTTTTGGAAACGTTTTCCTTTTGAAAATTAACATGGGTGGCAATTTGGTGCCGTCTGCGCAGCAAGACAACACAACCGTGTAATGGGTTTTCTCATGTCCGGAGGTTTTCACGGTGATAGTTTTGGCACCTTTCAGATCAACAGTCCTATTAGATGGCACATCAAAGGTTAGCGGGACTTCATCCATATTCCCAATCTGGCCAATTTCATACCCATTTTTCTTTCTAGCATCAATGACAAATTTATGAAAAGAAAGAATCTTAGATTCATATTCTTTTGGCATTTTTTGCGCAATTCTAGTTTTGGTGCGCATAGCAAGGCCACATCGCTTCATAAATCTGTAGCACCACGATGGTGATCCAATAAAATCGTGAATGCCTTTCTCTACAGCAATGCGTTTGGCTTCATATATTATCATTTTTGTAGAGACTGAGAAGCCATTATTCCGGTGATTTGTGATCCATTCTTTCATGGCCACGTCTAACTGTGGCCACTTTGCAGCATGTACACGAAGGGTGTGCTTACTTTTATCCACTTTTTGTAGCTGATCCTCCTGTTTCCGCCACTCTCTTATCATTTTTTCAGTTGGAGGTGGCCCAAAATGTCTCTCCGCTGCTCTGTTTCCATGCTCCTTAGCATACTTTACTACCTCTAGTTTAAAAGGAATTTTATATGCTAGTCTTTTCTGCTTGATCATCCTTGTATGTACAATGGGGGAAAGTTTCTGCAAGTAAATACAGTGATGAAGGAACTGTCAGTAATGTACCGTAAGTGATATCAGTACCCATAACCCATCACATGCTTTGCCTAATGACTTCAGAATTTACCCGGTAACATGGTCTACATATAATGCCCAGCTCATTACCATTTTGTTCAAGAAATATTCAGTTTAATGGGAACGGGAACACATACTGTCTGTCAATTATTGATTACACACATGAAAGATCTATAAAATTCCACAAGGAAAATAAATGTGCAAATTCAACTTGCACTTTTCAGAGAACTGCCCCATTAATCTGATCTCTGACAATTTAAATAAAATTAATATTACCGGTATATTCAATATATATTAATAATGTAATTACATGTTGTAATATGTTGTAATACATTACAAACATATTACAACATGTTGTGGGAATATAATTAGCTGATTAAACATTTTTTTTTTTTTATTCACTTGTAACAGTGCTGTTGAAGTGAGGAAAGCTAGGTGGCGGTAGATCTCTTACCTCAAATCCTGGTGAGACCACTGCTGTTGAAGTGAGGGAAGCTAGGTGGCGGTAGATCACGGCAAGACCAGTGCTGTGAGGGAAGCTAGGAACATTTGTTACGAGCGAGCGGGGAAGAAGCACGGCGACGGACAGACGCAATACCGGAACCCCAGGAGCCTCCTCTCTGCCGCGCGATCAACTTTTCATCACGGGACTCCGGCATTTTGACTCAAGGTACCACACATTCGCTCCATAAGACGCACATACATTTCCCCTCACTTTTGAGGGGAAAAAAAGTGCGTCTTATGGAGCGAAAAATACGGTATTAGCAGTAGAAAGAGGGAAGTGCTCATGCCATTGTACAGAACACTGGTGAGACCTCACTTGGAGTATTGTACACAGTACTGAAGACCGTATCTTCAGAAGGATATTGATACCTTAGAGAGGGTTTAGAGAAGGGCTACTAAACTGGTTCATGGATTGCGGGTAAAACTTACCAGGAAAGGTTAAAGGATCTTAACATGTATAGCTTGGAGGAAAGACGAGACAGGGGGGATATGAAAGAAACATTTAAATATATAAAGGGAATCAACACAGTAAAGGAGGAGACTATATTTAAAAGAAGAAACACTACCACAACAAGAGGACATAGTCTTAAATTAGAGGGACAAAGGTTTAACAATAATATCAGGAAGTATTACTTTACTGAGAGGGTAGTGAATGCATGGAATAGCCTTCCAGCTGAAGTGGTAGAGGTTAACACAGTAAAGGAGTTTAAGCATGCATGGGATAGGCATAAGGCTATCCTAACTATAAGATAAGACTAGGGACTAATGAAAGTATTTAGAAAATTGGGCAGACTAGATGGGCCGAATGGTTCTTATCTGCCGTCACATTCTATGTTTCTATGTTTCTATGTTTCTATGTTTCTATCATGTATTGTTTCTGAAATACAAAAAAAGTATTATTCATCTTGATAACTGAATGGTAACATAACAGTAATAGCAGTATCTGCTATTTCTAAATGTGACAAGTGTACTTATAGGATTACATTGTTCTTGTTTAATATGCAAAAATAGATGCAATTCAATAACTTGAATAAACTTTTTTTTCTTTTAGGTTTCATTAGCATTTTTGTATATGCTCACAAAATGTACTAGCTCATACTTAGGAGTTATTTATAATCCAGAAAGACCTAGATATGTGTACATACAGAAAAATGCTGTGTTTGCTCTTAGAACAAAGCTCCATTGATTTATAGTCACATATCCATTCTAATGAATAACAGAAAATATGTTTCTTAAGATCAGATACTTGTAGTTTTAGTTTTCAGATTAAAAAAGGGAAAAGAGTTATTGATTAATGCACAAAACCTTGTACTTGTGATAAAGAATGAGAATAATGGTTGCAAAAAATGATAGTGTAAAAAACACTTTGATACTATTAAAGAGACACTATAGTCACCAGAACAACTACAGCTTAATGTAGTTGTTCTGGTCAGTATAATAGCTCCCTCCAGGCATTTTTATGCAAACACTGCCCCTAAGGTCACCTCCAAGAGGCCACTCCTTAGATGGCCACTGAGGGGTTTCCTGGCTCAGAGCTGTACAGTAGGCATGGGGACGCTGAATTTTCCTCATAGAGATGCATCGATTCAATGCATCTCTATGAGGAGGTGCTGATTGACCAAACCAGTATTTGGCCCCGCTCCCTTGCCAATTTTTACCCATGGGAAAGCATTGGATTGGCTAAAAATTTGCAATTTTGATTTCACCAAGGGGGCACGGCCAGCGCTGGTGGACCGGTGGAGAGCTGGAAATAAGGTGAGTTTTAACCCATTCTGTGGGGGTTAAGGAGGGGGGCAAGCCACCTAAATGGTGGGTTTTCACTATAGGGTCAGGAATACATGTTTGTGTTCCTGACCCTATAGTGATCCTTTAAAATGGATGTCTCCAGGTTTACGGTCTAGACTGGTAAAATGTTTTATTGGTTTTTTTTTTTCAGATTATTTGGTACAGACACACTGTTTCACCAATAAGAAATCCATAGGGCTACAAAGTCAAATAAATGATTAGTCCTCAACAGTAAGTAAAGTGTGACCACAAAAATAAACTAAAGGAAGAAATAAATCCAATATCTAGACATGCAGAAGTATGCCTGCTTCAACATCTTTATGTTCTGTGAGAAGGTGGCACCTAATTTGCATTATACATGTTTTTTTTTAATTATGATGCTTTATTAAATTGCACAATATAAAAAGATCCTTATATGGCAATGGACAATTAGGCTTGGAAGTGATCTTGCAGAGTAAAGGCATGCCAAAATAATGATGCAACATATAATATAGAATTGCCATTGTCTAATATGACAACATAATTCATTATGCTGCAAGGATCTGGGAGTCAAATAGCAATTCCAGTCAACATGAATCTCAGTTCTTCTTTTTTAATACTGTGAAACAAAAGAAATGATAGAGAAAAAAAGAGGAAAGGGATATGGCAATACATAACAGATAAGTCTAATGTCAGAACTGTGAATATGAAAGAAAGAAAGAAAGAAAGAAAGAAAGAAAGAAAGAAAGAAAGAAAGAAAGGAAAAAGAATGGGAAAGGGGGCAGGCTATAGAGTATAGGGTAAATAAGTCTTTCTTTTGGAGACTTGGATGTTAGGAAAAATAATCCTTTAGGATCACCTGTTTCATGGATCCCACTGTGTGACTATCTTACTAATATAAAGTTGTTAAAAGTCATTCTTTGTTTTCTAACTTTAATCAGTCCAGTGTATGGTATGCAAGTGCTTGAGCAGTGTGCTGTGTGTTTTAATGCCAAACACAATTTTGTTACAGCAGTAAATCCACCAGGCACTATGCCATTACAATACAAACACCTCTTTTTGCTGAATAAAGATATGTTTGTTTACACATTACACAATCATACATATCCCAATATATTTATATAATAATAAAAACAAACCTACCATCAATGTCACATTCTGCTAGCAAGATGAAATTGAGGGAGGGCAGAGTAAGGTGTCCTATTCCTTATTCTACCATTAGCAGTCCTACAATGGCTTCTGACAGTTGGAACATATTGGGCATCAATACTGCTGACACCGCCATAACAAACAGGCTTACATTATTAAAACAACATGACACATTTACAACACTCAATAAGGAGCACAAACCTTTAGAACTAGATTTTTATTTTTTATTTTGTAGACAATGCATTATAATCTAAATGAATTCATCAGACACAACTTTTTCTCCTTGAACTTAACAATATGTTTCATTCCAAGTAACCAGCTGACCCCCTATAGACATAAACATTGGCATAATTGAAAGAGGCATCTGATGGCATTCATGTAAATCACATTCACATACCACTTAAAGAACAACTAATAATTTACTTCAACAAAGGTTGAAATAGTTTATTCTGAATTTCATTCATTCCTGTAATGAAATATGATTTTGACATTATACAGGAATGTACAATCCATAGTCTTACATATTTCTTATTTGTGAGTTATTTTATGAAACGCATTGAAAAATATTTTTTTTTAGAATTATCCAACTACAGAAACACATTCATATTATACAGAATGTAAGCATTCTTTCTTTAATGCTAACAAGTGTTATATTTATGGTTGGATATAAATATGTGACCTGAATGGAATGTTAATAATTATAAAAATAGAACTAAAGATAAAATAACATTATCAAAACGAGATAAAAGACCTTCTACTAATAAGGACAAAAATGGTCTATTTCAAAAGCAAGTACACCTAGGTGCACATTTTCTGCAATTTAAGAATAAGTATACTATAATTTAATGTGCAGTGCTTGTTTTCAATCCATCTATTTCTGAATCAAGAACAATACTGCCTGGTAAATCAGCACACTTTGGAAATTTCGCTACTGAATGTTAAAATAAAATACATTACTTAAATTAAATTTTTCTTCTGCAAATTTCTGTTTATTTGAAATTTTGTATACAAACACAATGTCAGAAATATAAAATACGATAAAATAAAGCTCCCTCACTAGCAGGCACACACACACACATACACACAAACTCCCTAACTAGCAGACACACACACACGCACACACACACACACACACACAAACTTCCTCACTAGCAGGCACACATACACACACACACACACACACACACACACAAACTCCCTCACTAGCAGGCAGACACACACACACACACACACACAAGCTCGCTCACTCACTAGCAGACACACACACACACACACACACAGA